AAATAAAAATAATACATTTAATACCGTCTTTCGAATCAAGATGACTACATTAAACTTCTAGAAGCATTACTGAGCCGTTTCATTTGAGGATAACCCAAGTGCACGTAGACAGCCGTAGAGGTGCAGTTATTTAGGAATGAAGTGGTCCGTAAAGATGTAGACCGACCTGTCTAGACACAGTAAAGTGCCGAAGAGAATTTTACTCAGGTTGTAGCTAACCCACGAAAATAGTATCTTTCAAAAGATACTGAATAATGCATTGATTTTCATTAATTGCAGATCGTGACTTTCATATCTTAGTAAAACTCACAAGATTTCATTCATATTCCCAACAACGTATTCAAATAATTCAATCATATAAGGTAGTTTTGATTGCTATAACCTTTTGATGCTCATCATGTTCTCCTATTTTTTTACATCTAATGATTTATTTGAAAATTACATTATTCTTTCTGATTTATGTTTTAATTTTTTTATTAATTAGATTCTTGTTTTGACCAACATAGTTACATCGTATCATGTTATTTGTTTGATTAAGTAATGGATAATTGTATCGAAATAGTGTAATTTCCTTGAGCAATTTAGACCGACACCTACAGTTCTCCTCATCCTACCTCATTTACTTATGCTATTCTCACGGTCCCTATGTGCACATCCATGTCTTTCACTGAAGCCACAGGCGGATTTAGTTGCAATACATACCCCAACCTAAACTAGCTAGTGCTAAACCAGAAGAGGATAAAAGGGAAAGTTCTCTAACGAACGTAAAAGGAAACGTACGAGAAACTTTGTGTTTTTGATGAAAAGTTCGTTTTTTTTTTTTATTATTGTTGATCTTGTAATTTTCTAGTGGGTATTGAAAAGTTGATTACATCCTTCGACACGTTCAGTAATTTATTTGAAATCGATTGCTTTGAATAAATAATCATTATTAACAGAAAAAATTTTAGATAATCAAAACATAAATTGAAAATTTAAAAAAATAAAATAAACTAACGTTAAATTTTTTAGTAAGCTAAAAAGTATTTCGCGTAAACATTTCTGTCATATTGAAGATAAACATTACTTTAAAAAGCATTAAATTTAATTAACTTCAACTAATTAATATTTTTTGTAGAGTAATTTATTTTCAAGTTGACTAATTTTTCCATTTCTTTGACTTTTTTTTAACTTTTACTGCAATATGACAGTAATTTTATCTCTAAAAAATCTTTCTAGGATACTTGAGGTAATTGAGAAATAGACCATTTCCCATATTTAGTTGAAAAACTTGAAGCAAGTAATATACAAAAATGTCTATAATTTAATCATATGACCACTTTAATATCTCTTTTTTAATTATTACATTATCAAATAAATTCATAATTTAATAATTTTTATTGACTAAAAAATTCATTATAATAATGAAGAAAGGAGATATCTTGTAAACGTAATGTTATAAAACAACGATGAATGTTCAACCATCTAGTGACAACCAAAAAAAAGTATAAAGGAATATTATTCTTCTTGCAAGTAGTGAGAATAGTAAAGTCTAGAAATGAAATGATATATATGCAGGCAGCACAAGAAGGTGAATGTTGGAAACTGCTGGAGATGACTAAAAAGACGTAAAATGTATTTCAAAGCTTTACCTTCACATGTATTTTAGTTTTCAAAGAAAAGTTTTTTGTTATAATTTTAGAATGAAATAAATTCAAATAATGCGAGAAACTAAAGGACGTGTGTCAATACTAGTGTACTCAGCAAGTAGTAAATTTGATGGATAAATATAAAAAGTGCCTTTATGTTGGAGAATTAATTTATAAAAGTATAAGGATAAAATTTTTTTATGTATTTTATGGATCCAACTATATTATCTAGGAAAAATCTGATCATGTAGAAATACATAAATGTGCAAGAATCAAGATATAGATATAAACGAATATAAAGTGTAAAATTGATGGGGGTTAGTTATAGGACAGAGATAATAACTATGATGTGAACTCTATATTCATTGTTATACGAACATGTATGTGTACAATAGTAAACGATTGTGGACCAATGATAGATTCGAACATTGTTATATACCCCGTCTAATCTGAATGACCTCACGAAGATCTATTGAATGGGAATTTACGTCTCTGAGAGACTATTTGTAGATAATAATATTTTAAACACTGAATTTACTACAAGATACTGATAATAAAGCTAGTTTTATTGAAATGGATTAATGATTACGTCAATGGAAACATTAGATCCATTGTGTTCATGATCAAAGCATGCTACTAGCTGGTGTGGTTTATTAAGATTAATTAACTGAATAGAGTGATTCAGTGTGAGTTAGATTTTAATTGATAAATAAAAATTGAATGGTGATTGTTTCATTTGTAGAACTTGGTAGATTAAAAATACTCTTAAAATAAGCTTATTTCTATCATGGTATTATTTTAAATCTACATTTATATATGTAATAAAAGCCAATCATTTCCTGATAAAAATTCACTATTGTAAAATTTATAATTAATACTGAATGACATATAGTAATATAATATATGAATAAGTTATTCTTACTTTAAAGTTAATCAATTAATTTTTCAAAAGGTTAGAACAACTTTATTATTTATTTTGTTTAAAGAGAATTTGAATTTTATTATACCTAGTGAGACGATTTTAGATAATCAATAATTCGTTAGATTTTTAAAAAAATTAATCAACTGTGGTGAATATGATCAAATTATAAAAATGATCTGAAAGACCCGTTGTATTTAAAATTATAATGTAAACCATATATTTTATGGACACTAAATAAAACATGTATGAACATGAGTTTTACATTGTATGCTGTTGAATAAATTGTAAAAAAAATATGTAACCAGGGATTATATAATTTACTCTTTCATCATCAACTATTCAACTTACCAACAATTAATAATTTTAGTCCTCATTTACCACTATGTAATATTTATTTGTATTAAATGATGAATTAATTTTTCAATATATTAAAGTAACTTACTCTTTAATAGATTGAAAATGATCTCTTTTGTTCAAGTTTCTAGTGATTACCTAAAAACAAAGCTCCACTCTAAAACAGAACTGCTAATTTTTTTCAGCAAAGTGGCAACTATTCAAGGCAATTTATTTCAGTTGTTTGATGCGGGTGAAAACAATTCAAAGTATTACTCCATTAACTTTCTCTCAATCATTAAAATGAAATAAAATAAAAAAATCCAAGTATCTAAAAGCGAAAAAAATTTTAAAATTCTGGATAAAAAGATCTTTTTTCTGTTAACACAATAATAACATCTCAAAAATGATATTAACACAAGTATGTACAACATGAAAATTCAGAATGGCAGAATCACAAAATAGTAAAGGGTAATCTTAAACATTATTTGCATTTTTATCAAGTTGATATTGCAAGTCTTAAAGAAAATACTTGTCTGGAAGAAGAAAATTTGAAAAATATTGCCTTTTAAAATGTAGTTCGTACATTGTTGATAGTAACATCAGATACGGTTTGTATAGAACGATGAAATAGCAGATAGTAAGACATACAAGTATATTCCTTAGAATTATAAACATGGCTTGAGATGAATCTTGCATTATGTGCATCAACAAGTATACAACAGCAAAAATATTTGTGCATTGAAATTAAAGAGGCTGCATGAAATCAATCGAAAGATAGTTCTCATCTCTCATTTTTTCTCCAAGGAAGTATGCAAGTTCATTTCCCCGAGTATATTGAAAAATCAAGTGACCTATAAATTGCTACAAGCAAAATATTTAATTCTCAAATGCAAGTATCTATTAAGGATTATATCGAAAGACCGTATGCAATCACACGGCTGATTGGACAAGTTTTACAAGTTATCTGATACCCTACGAAATAATCCAACCGTCTAATTTCATTTTAGAATATTCTAGAATCCAAACCTTATTGTTATCATCTAAATATACACGAAATTCTCAACAATTTAGTTATCCTACAAACTTTTAATATTGTAATATCATTATATAACACTTCTAAATACGTAATGTATGAAAAGTTATACGAGAAATTCAATTAACTACACCACCAGCATTCCCAACAAGATAATAATTACATCAAGTATTCTTTTTTTTTTCATTACTATATTACTTCTATAACTCAGGAAATAACTTTACGTGCTGCAAATTCATTGAAGAGAAATATAAATGTTTACGAAGTTAAATTGATGAGAAAATTGTAGCAGTATTTATTAAAGAAATTAATAAAACCGTTTCAAAATTTATTTTTTTCTCTTGATATTGAATATTTAAACATAACATTGATTCTTCATCAGTATACCACAAGTTTATTTATTAATTAATATAGAAAAAAAGTACATTCAATCCTTGATTCATTATTTAATATTTTCCAGTGAAATATTTATTAAAGTATAGAATTTAATATTCAAATAAATAACTTTTAATTAATGCAAAAATAATAAAAAAAAAATTACTGATATCATATTTTTCAGCTATTTGAATTTAAATGAATATCTATCAGAAATATTTTCTACTTGAAAATGTTTTTGTTGTAAATTGAAGTAAAGAATCTTATTGATATCTTTTTATAGATATTTAATAAAAAAAAACTGTGAATCAGAATGACAATAACACTTGATTTGATCACAAAAATTCTCAGAGATAGGCATTTCAATTATTTGACATTCAACAAGACTAGTATTAGAATTGAAAGACATTCGTTTTCAGACTTGTATCCACTCAACGTCGCCATGAAAGATTCGATAAATTGCAATAGTTCAAATTGAGCTTCCGGCTGGCTCCGCGTCAAAGATTTTCTTTTTTCTTTCATCCATCCACCTACATTGTCCGTTAGATTGATATCATTATGTTAGAGAAAATTTTTCTCTGTCGGCAATCTTCTGCGCAACTTTCTGATAAATCAAATTAACTCCAAAAATTAAAGTAACAAAAACGTTATTACTAATATATTTATTATTGATTAAACTTTGTTATTGTTTAAATCATTTTAATTGCTATTTTGTTTGATATTTAATTAGCATGCTATTAACTGCATCACGACATGCATGAAAAATTTCATTTATCTCTCTCTGTCCATCAATAACCGTAACGCAATTTTTATTCACTCTTAAAATACCATCAATATTACGAAAAAATGTTTTTACCCGTATATTAATAGCATCCACAGTATCATCAAATCGTTCATTAGCAATAGCACGACCTTTTATTCTTTCTTCAATAAATTGTTTACCAGCCCAAACATAAAACATCAAATCTGGTTGTCTGATTTGTGAATTAAAAAGTTTCGCTTGAATTTTTGTTCGTGGATAACCAACGATAATAAATCCACGGGAATTTACGAAGGATAACATTTTTCTCTGAATTATCTTGAAGATTATTCGATCAGGTAAATTATGACCCTCCAACATTATCCTCTTAAACTGTCTACCACGTTCTGTATCGTTTGACACTTCCATTCGCACTAATTCTGATGATATAATTTCAGAAAATCCAAATTCATCAGCTAAACGCTTTCCCAAAATTGTTTTATTAACACCAGGACCACCAATTAATGAAATTATTGGTACTGACAAATGAGTGAGTGCTCTTGAGTCGATTTCCTCATCATTATCATCATCATCATCATCATCAATGATATCATTGAACTGCGTTAATTTTTCACAGGAAATTATTGAAGATGAACAACAACCCATGACTTGTTCTTTTATTAAAAATATACTTGTTTATGTAATAAAAAAATCTTTGAATAACCTCATAATCAATGTCACTATAAAACAATTACAGATAATAAAAACGTGAAGATCGCTACGATTTATTTAGAAATGTAGATGGCTAACTGTCTAAAATGTTGCTAATGGAGTTATAAATAGAATGAATGTTATTTTCCAATAAGATGATTAGATTCAGCAATTCTGTGTAAGTCGATTTACAATGGTGAGTTATATAATAAGTTTGGTATAAATGTGTATCCATATTTATGAGAATTCCGAACCGCAAATAAATGGTACACACTTGGATCATTAATTAAACTTCTAAATTTATGTACTTTCGGCGAGAAAGCAATTACGAATTACTTATATTTATGTATACGTGTTTTAATAAAATAAGTCGATGTATTCGATAATATACTAAAGTACATATTTCATGCTAGATACATTTGCAAAGAAAATTTAGTTTTTCTCTATAGAGTGCTTTAAATTTTTCTGAAACATCAATATATCATTTGTTGGAAAGTTAAATCATTTTCAACAAAGTTGTTTTGTTTATCACAGTGATAAGTAGAACATTCTTTCAAACTTGTTCTTCCTTATAAAAAGCTGGTAGCTTTTATTCAAATATATTATCATTAAAAAAAAGGGGTTGTTAATATTATTTAAATGTTAACTAATTTTTTACAAGCATGAATTAAAACTGAAAAAATCAGCAAATAGGTTAGAATAATTAATTAAGATAATTAATTCATGGAGCTTTTTCTTTTTAAATAGAATTTATTTTTCATGAGAAGCATTTGAGTAGTATAAATAGACCGATGGTCAGACATTTGAGATCAAAAGATGGACCAAAATTGGAAATGCTTTCATATTTAATATTAACTTATGTTTAAATAATTTATTTTGCTCTTAATTAAAAAAAATCTCAGAAAAGCTTTTAACCTATTGGTAACTGAAGTCTGTTGGAATTGAAAATTAGAATTTTAAGTAATTGTTAAAAAAACATTGACAGTAATTTCGATAAATAAATAGTGTCTCTAGGAAATTGTTTTTAAATTTAATGAATCAATAAATGACATAGAAAGAATTCTTTTTCATTTTGTTAACAACAAAATTAAAGAAACCGTAGACAGAGAAATCTATATTATTTGATTTCACTGAAAGTTCAGTAATACTTTTTATATTCACTGCTATGTTACCTTTTCAATACTTCTTCTAAAGTTTTACAAAAAAATCATCAACTTAAGTAGTATAAAGAAGAAACAAAAAAAAACGATAGCTGTCGTATAAAGAATCGTGTCAATTACTACAAGAGAATAGGACATTTGTACTTGCTAACAAATGAAAAAGTTAACAGCAGTACTGCTGATGAAATTGAGCAAAGAGTCTCATTAATATAAATGGGCTTCTAAGACTTTCAACTTGGTAAATTAATCCAGCAGAAAATTGACTTGAAAAAGTTTTCAATATTAATAAATCACGGATTTTAAATTGAACATTACTCTATATAAAAATAAAAAATGTTATCTTAATTTCTTAAGATGCTTCAATTTTCTTTCATTTAAGAGTTTTTGCATTTTGTAGTCAATTTATATAACGTTTATTTGAACAAATATTCATGAATGAAATTTAACAGAACCACTCCACGTGATCAGCTTTTATTACACAAAATAGTATAACACAAATTTCACTAAAATATACAACTTTTTTTTACAGTTTACTCAAAACCATGGTTGCATACAACTCGAATGTTCCAACCGCAAATATTTAACTTTAAATACATCGAATTTTAGAAGACTCCACAATGTTTTCAGTATTTGGAGATATTAAACACGAGAAATATAGCAATTTTTAATCAAATTCAGAGCTTCTCTATCAATTGTTAATAAGCATAATTCATTAATTCAATATTATGTTCACATCTGTTATGACCTATTAATTATCTATCCAAGTAGAAAGCTGATGAAGGAATGCTTAATTTTCTAAGGCGTTGACATGTAAATCAGGATGCACCTTGATTCAATCTTAGTTGGAGACTCAATATTTTTCCGCTCGAGTTGTTCTTCTTACGAAACTCTTTTTTCCAATTTGATACACTCTATCAATACCTTACATTCTTAACATAATTTACTCTTAATCCAGTACTATTCTAGTAGAAACAAAGATTGACTTCTCTTTTTCCCACGTTAAACAAAGGTAACATAAATTTTCCTGAGTCGAATGAAAATTGAAAGCCACTTTTTGTTCTTGCTAAAATATTGAAATGAAACCTAAATCACATTAAGTATGTATTTTTCAGTGTTTTTTAGATTATTGTCTTCGCAAATGGTCTCTCTAACTATCTAACTTGGTAAGGACTAAAATGATAACTTAAGTTTTGTTTAGAAGATTCTAATCTAAACCAAACCACTGGGCACTCCACTTTGATGACCCAGGTCAGAGTCAAACTGCTGTCTTAAAATAAATTAATGGTAATCAATAATCACCATTTGGGAATCATAAAAGTATCACTGTTTAAATCAAGACTATATTCACAATTACAAACAGTATATATTTACTTGTCCATTGTTGAATAGTAAATTAATCATGATTTGAGATAAATGTTGTCATTTAAATTAGTATTTTAATGTATTTTTGATAAAAACAATAGTTAAATATTATTCATGTGTTATTCAATTGTGTGTGAATTTGTCATATGAATAAACATGATATGGATGAATAGTTACTCTGTAAAAATACTAAAATGTATAATCTTCATTATATGAACTTGAACAAGACATTTATTACAATTAAATGTAGATAAATAAACTCATGAAATTCTCTCTGAGGAACAAATCGATTTTTTTACAATTGATAAATAAATCTTCCAACTATTTATACAGTTTATAAAGGTAGGGTTGTTTACTAAATGTAATTATAGAGTTAATTTATAAATTTTATAGTACATCGATGTCTTGAAATATTTACTACCCAAGGAATTTCATTTCTCTCTGCTCGTTCTTGCAGATTCTACACGAAGAGATGCTTTGACATGGAGAATCTAATTAGAGGTGACAGGTAGTAACCAACTAGTACCTACAGTGTAGCCTCACAGTCATTAACTTCTTTGTAGATAATAAAAGAGGAGTTGTCTCATTAACTAATTAGTTTTGTGAACGCAACATATACTTGAGTACTCGTTAGAGTTACCGGAAAATACGTCTAAATCTTCTCCAAACATATACGATGTTTAATAATTATCTCAAGATATTCACTTAGATAATTGTTTATAGTTCAATATTAAGACAAGTTGATAAAATTTATAATTAAAGACTTATATGTTCTATTAATGAGTATATTCTGATAAGTAAATTAATTATAATTATATCTATCATTCAATACAGCTTATGTCAAAGATAATTGGAATAATTTTCGTAAAGGATGCCACATTTCATGGCAAGATATATTAAGATAATTCGACATTTCAAATATCATAGACTTGTATGCAGCCATATATTTGTCTTTATACTACCAATTGCAAATCTATGAACGTGCTGTGGTGCAACCACGACACAGATATCGCAAACGGAACTTAAATTGTATCACTATAGCCTACAGCGAGCTTTAATGGCTCTTTAATCGCATTATTTAAATTACAGACTGCGTTTCAGTTTTTAATCATGGAAAGTAATGGAGTATTGAATCGAGAGTGAGCTATCGAGATTTCATTGATGGATTTTTTCCAATTTTATATTTTTTTAATGAATTATAGAAGTGAATTTTTGAAAATAATTATCGTTGAAAATTATATAGAAAGAAGGATTGAAATACTAAGAATTTATTTTCCATTGGAAGAAGAGTATTATAAAAGTGAATTTAATCAATTGAAGTCATTAACAATTGTAAAATACACCACAGGAATGAAAACTTCAAGACGTTTTTTTTTTGAGATTAAAAAAGAAGATCATTGTAGAAGAGAAATAATTTTCGAAGTAAAATTGTAGTTGTTGAAAAGAATACAAATGATACAGAATTTTTGTGACGTGAATTTTTTTTCCAATTCAAAATTGTTTGCACGCGAAATACAAGTTCAATTTTTTATGAGCTTTTGATAAAGAAATATTAAAAAAATATTATTTAATAAATGAATAAAATTTTCTAAATATTTCTTATGAAATCATTTGATATTAAAATTAAAAAATTTTTTTTTATTTAAACTGCATTGTGGTTTTAAAAAATATTTTTATATCGATTTTAGTAAAAGCCGTGACCACACCTTTACTGGGATCACCAACAAGTATATTTTACTGACCACATTCTATAAAAATTACAATTATTTTCTTTTACAAACTTCAACCATCCTAACATTCAATTGTTAAAAAATTCATTTAGTTAACCACAATATTTTTAAATTAAAAATTCACTGTAAAAAGTATAAAAAATAATTTCAAGACGTGTTTAATAATCCATTAGAACAAAAATTATAATTGACTTCTCAACTTTCTGATTTCAGAGTGTACTCATTGTTCATAAAAGTTCAACAAAAAGATTCTTTATTACTTAGCTCTTGAATCATGTCGACTCCTTATATTATATTACCACTATTTAAACATTTATCATTTAAGAATGGAGTCATTAAAACTCGACATAATCATGAGTAAAGATCTGAAGAATTTTCTTGTCATACTTTCGAGTATTTTTTCTTTTTTTTCAAATTTTTGTTAATACTACAATATAATAAACATTTTAAATCATTTTATTTCGTTCACATTTTATTTTCCTTCCGTCTTGGTAAAGATGTATCACTTCTCTAATAATCTAGACATTTGAAACGATAATATTATTCTAGACGTACTATTTGATATTGCTAAAATAGCAATACTAATTATCCCAGTGAACTGAACTGAATGTTATTGGATAAAATCGCTATAATAACGAAGCAAACGTTGGCAGATATAGTTAAACCTGTCTGTTTAAAGTGAAAATTTCGATCTCTCTACCAA